TTTTTTTTTTTTTTTTTTTTTTTATTGATGTGATGTCGGGTCGAGCGGAGAACACAATTCGGCGTGTGCATTGTTATGAAATGCGCTTTGCTGCAACGAAGTTTCATTAGCGCTCCCATTGTCGTCGGTGCTCGTCTATATTACTTTATCTCTCGCCACACTGCGTACTTGAATGCAAACAAGTATACATTGAAGAATTGTGATAATAATAGCTAGCAATAATAATAATTCATAGTTATTTTTTGTAATTTGCCCGCGATTTCACCTAGTGCGTATCCGTGCAATAAGTTTAACCTTGGAGTTGATTAATAATCGCGATGCATTCGATAGCGACCGACCACATCACAGACAAGACCGACACGCGCAGTGTTTATACGCGCAGTCTAATGTGTTATCATCTATCCGATGTAAAAGATTATACGGAATAATGAAACGTCGGACGCCGCGTATAGCTCATTATTATCTCTCCGGCCGCGTCCGACCTTCGCCAATTTATTTTTCATTGCGTTTCAGTTTATAATTACTTTTCCGCCTCGGCCGTCGTTCGCGTGCATTTTTCCAATTAACTGTTGACGGACAAAACTATACTCAATTTGCGAGTTTGCTTTTAGCGGAAAATTCAACCGAATCGAAAATCGCCGTCCGCACAATTTGTCGTTTAGGTATATTACATTTTTAACTTTTATCCGTAACAATTTAATAAAAAAAAAAATTCCTGTTTTATTCTGCAGGTTGGGTTAAAATTATTCTGCAATTGACAAAATGTGATTTCGTTCATCCCAAATTGAAGAATCGGTCCCTGGGAATTTCCCCGAGAGTGACGACAAAATTCGTATCGCCGTGTTTTTATTGTGTTTTTTTTGCTAACGTTCGACAAACACGCAAATTAATTCCGTCCGTAACTGTCATTTTTCTATTCCGGCCAATGTTTCCGTTCGCCCAAATTCTACTGCGGCCTTTATTGGCGCGCATCAAGAATATTGCATTTGCGTGTTCTCCTAACAAAGTTATTGTGTTATCCCGTGGGAGTAGTTTCGCATAAACTTTTTCGGGTTTTGCCATACCGATCGGAATCAATTTGCACGTCCCAAACGACGAAACAGACACAACTGAGAGCGTGTCGTTGCTTGTCCCGATGAAAAACACAGTTATCGATTTCGTAAGCATCGCGTGCCCGAAAATCTCAACGGGACACCCTTGACCTTTAATTCAAATTAACTTCCGCGATGAATTCCGCCATCTGCCTGCCGCGCCGACCATTCTACCGGTGGTCCCCGTGAAACGAATTCAGCCTTAACACACATATTGTATTAGTATTATGTTAACATCAATCGTCTGCCAAGTGTGAAAATAATCGCAGAGCAGTAGTAATTTTGTTATCCGTCGTGATGGCGATCGCGGTCCACTGGCCCCCACGCGTTTTCTTCCCTCGGTTGACCGACTCGCAGTCAATCCGATTCGTCTGTCCGGCCGGCCGGCCAAATGGCTGCGCGCGTTACACTGTGGCAGCAAAGCGCACACGTGCGTATCAAAAGCCGGTCGACTATTTGCCAGTTCTGTTTAAATATTTCTCCGGTATGTCATGCCCTCGAAATTGGCACCGGTTGACTTTTGGGCCGCCGCCGACCGCTTGTCAGTCAATGTCAAAACCGTTTGCCTGAAATAACCCGAAAATTTCATTTAAAGATAGATCGAGTTGAGCCGGTCCAGAAAATTATTGTCAAATAAATTTTACGCTCTTAACCGTTGCGTGTTCCGCTCGAATCGTTCGGAACATGCCCAGAGCCGTTTTTTTTTTTTTTTTACCAAAATTACAATATTATCCATAACCGCAAAAACAAATTACACGCGGAGATAGCCGGCGACTTGTTACGAGTATTTTTTTTTTTTTCTCTAAAAATAAATCACTTCCAACTGCCTCTCCCGTTCGAATTGCATTCGATCTTCAAAACTGACAGAAGTTGGCTCGAGGGCGCCTTATTCACTGCCGCGAGCTCTCTTATATGTATTACGCTTATTTATATTTTTACTGTACACATATATAATTCTACGGTACACTTTGGCGCCAGTCGGCCAGTAAAAGTCGATTAAATGACCAGATTATGTGTGTGTGTGTGATACGGCCGAGAACGTTTCGAAAGTGACACTAATATTATTATTAATGCGTTTTTTTTTCTACGTCTCGGCAAAACCGGTGGGCACGAAAAAAAAAAATAATAATAAAAATCGCCAGTCATTAAAGTTTTGATAAAAATGTGTTCGCGGTGAAAACTCGCAGCGTGAAACCTAAACAAGAGGTCGGGTCGACTTTCGAAAATCGTGAACAGCGGTCAAAAAAAGCTCTTGGCTCTGTTCAAACAGAAAAACAAATATCGCACTTGTTAAATACACACGGCCGTTAGTGTCATTCGGCTGTCGACCGAAACATTTCCCAAGCAAATCGCGTTCTTTGTGTATTTTTGTTTTCGAACGTTATCCGTCAGTGCTTTCTCGACGCGATGACAGTTTCCCGGGGGACACGATTATTTTAAACTTGACCAAAGAGGACAGCCCGAGGACCCGTCGCAACGCGTCTGTCCGACGGCGCTCTGAAAAGGGACTTTGCATAACTAGTGGCGTGTGACTGTGCCGTATATATTATTATTAACACCGCCTTCGGTTGGACTCCAAACGGAATCGGGACGCGCGTCTGCTGCGTGTTTTTTAATACATTCGGCCTTATTAGTGAAACGCGGCCCAACACGTACACAGCAACGCGTCTTCCGTATTTTCCGCACGTTTTTTTCAATCACAACACAAAATGCGTCATCGGCCAATTGTGTTCAAACGATTCAAAACGAAATGGAAAAGTCCGTGTAGATCTTTGTGTGCGCGCCACTCCGAACGCGGTTATTGTCGGTTAGTTTTTCGCACCTCTGTCGGGGCCTCTGCCAGTGGCGCATAGCTAAAATAGAAACCGAGCGAAGAATGGCACGGAAAACACAAATGCAAAAATGCATTTGGTGTAAACAGAAAATGTGGACGGAAAGGTGGTAGTGGGGAAAACGGCGGGGGCCATTGCACGCCTCGTGCTGCGTGTTTGGAAATTATTGCAAGCGCAGATTTCCTCCGCCAGTCCTCCCACCGCGCCAGTCGCCGCACACAGGTCGGTATCGCTCAGTTCGCCTTTCTCTCTCGCTCCTCGTCCGTCAGCGCGTCGCCTATCTGTCGGGTTGCATTGTTGCAATATGCACTTCACACTCGAGTAGAGACGGGCCAAACCTTAACGCGAGCGGAGGCGGGTTTTCTATTATAATTGTTATTTTCCTTTTGTGGTGCACGCCGTGCACACGTATGCGTTCATGTTGCACCAGACGTCAGCTCTACGCCAGTTTGTGTTGAGGTAGGTCTTCTTCGGTGTCGTCGTATGCGCCGCGAGCGTTGTTTGTGTACGAAATTTTAAAAATACCACAAATCGGTGCTAATGTGTTGCCGATGACGTGCAGCACGGCAAGTGCATTGTCTCCGTCCCGTAACAGCACTATACCTGTCCACTTGAGTGTGCAAACGTTGTCGGCCGATCTCGACAGTTGCGCGTAATTTTTCGTTGAAAAATTATTTTTTTACTTGGCCGCTCGCCGTTTAGCGTCGCCGAATTCATAAATCATTCGTCGCCGTGTGTTTGCTGAATTAAGTAAAATGTGTTATTATAGTTAGTAACTTGTTGCGAGAAAAAACGCTATTTGAATTTAGAACGGCCGTCGCTTTGCGTCATTGCAATTATTGTAACACAATAACACCGTGTTAGTGTTGTACCGATCACTGCGACTGACTGTTGCGTCCGTGTGTAAAAAAAACTAATGTTTCCAATTCGTGTTTGTTTGCAGACAGACTTGAAAGATAAATGTCAACTCAAAGTCTGGGCGTACCTGGACGACTACACCGTTTACACGACTAACGGCACAACGTTAGCGGACGTCCCGACGCCTCACTGCCTGTGCCTGGTCACCACCACCACCAACGCCCCTCAGCTGTACGTAGCGTGCCGGTCCGAAACCCTTCTGTCTTACTGGATGTGCGCTATGAGATTGTCGAAAGTAAGTAGATTCAAAGAGGTCTCCTCGTCGGATCCAATGTAATTCCGTGATTTATTTTTCCACAGTACGGAAAACAACTGCGAGATAACTACCGTTCGTTTTTGAAGAAACAGGGCGATGTAGTCAACGACTATGAGTACAGCAAAAAGCCGTTGCCCAATGAGAGCGTGCGATCGCACGTGGCCATGGACTTCACGGGCAACGTCGGCCGGATCGTAGAAGACCCCAAAGAAGCGCTGGCCATTGCTCAGGCGGAGACGGGCAGCGTGCGGCGGAGTTGGAGGTCCAGCGGTCGGTCCACGCCTGGTCTCCAAGCGGCCATAACCAGGCTCGAAAACGACGTGCACCTCTCGCAGCCGTGGTACCATAAAAACATGAGCCGCGATCAGGCGGCCAACATCCTCAACAGGCACGGCAATAAAGACGGGTAAAAAATGTGTTTTGTCGTTTTTCGCGTCCTAGGCCCTTGTGGACTAGTCGAGTTTTTTTACTTACTCGGTTTTTGTTTGGGTTTCAGAGTGTTTCTAATACGAGAGAGCAAAAGTAAATGTGGCTCTTACGTGCTGACATTCAAATGCGGTGGCAAAATCATCCATACGCCAATCGCAGCTGTAAGTCGACACTTTCCACGCAACGTCTACATAATGATTTTAACAATCGTGTAATTTGTTTGATTACAGCAAATGGATCCGATTTACGACGTTGTGTGTTTCACCCTTGACAATGGCGTGACGAAATTTTATGACTTATTACAATTAGTGGAATTTTACCAATTGAATGCCGGCAGCCTACCTACTCGACTGATGCACTACGTGGTGCAAGTACCGGTGGCTAAGTAGAAGTGCAAGCGCAATCGCAGTGCACCAGAGTACACAGTTCCTGCTGACACGACGTATTCTCATCCGAAAAGGTGTGTGTGTGTGTGTGTGTGTGTGTGTATGTGTGACGAATAAATCAGTGACACAATTTTTCTAAAAGTTAAATACCTACTACTTAGGTATTTTATAATCTCGACCATCAAATTTCAGTTTACTTAATGGTTATCTTTATTTCCCTTTTTTTTCTATGTTGTTTTTTTCTGAAAGTACCATACAAATGTTATTGTAAGAAGAAAAATATGACTGAATTGTTAGAAAACATCTACACCGTTTGCTATGTTTTGACTCCGATATATTCTACACATTTTCGTGTGACAGTTAGTTATTTTTGTGTAAGCCGAACGAGTCAAATATTGTAGCGCGATCAGTTCCTAGATTAACTAGTTCGTAACATTCAATCAAGCACCTTTAGGACTTAAAGTTATATCGATAATAATAATAATAATAATAATAGTTATTAAAAAACATAGTAGTAAATACATAAATAATTTTAGTCACTTAAAATAATATAATATTTATATTGTGATAATTTTTGTCTTGCATTTAAGCGCGACAGACCAAATATTTAGTTTGTAAGTTTACCTTATAATGAGAATAACATATTTTATTTAACTTATTTAACATGGTAATTAGTAGTCAATATAAAAGCAATAATTAATATTATGAAAACCATTGACAACAAAATGTTAATCTAAACAATGATTTGTGATAATGTGTAAACAAAGTTGTTTATAATTTATGTATGTATATATTTATTTCTCAGTATGTGTACACACTTTTTCATGTACGTTTGTAAACTTTTAATAAAAATTTAATTAACACTCTCAATATAAACCATTATTATATATCAGCCTTTAAAGAATTATTGCAATTTAAAGTGCTGTTAATCATTTTAATGGTATTTTCTAATTTATATTTTATTATGGTACAACATTTAACACATTATTGTGTTTTTTTTTTTAATATTAAAAGTGTCCCTGAATAAATTCTAAAATTTGATATTATTGTATTTCATGTATTACCAAGCAATATTACATTTAAAGTTTTATAAGAAAATCTTTTAAAAATGTAACTATGCTACAGTCTTATTTGTTTTTTGACCTATCTACCTTAGAGTTAAAAAAATAATAATTTTTTATATTTTAAATTATGTAATGGTTTTTTATTTCTAAATAAAATTATTTATGTTAATGTGTTTATCTTAAGAGTAATTGACTTAAATATATACTTTTGTTTGTCTGTTAACAATTTATGTGTTATGGTAACAATGTGTGTATGCATATTTGAGTAAATATATAGAGTGTACAGTAAGTAAGGAAACGGGTTTCTATTGTTCTCATTGTTTGTAACAATTGACCTGTTTCCTTACTTACTGAACACTCTGTATATATATATATAGACACACACATATATAATCATATTGAATATAATATAACTAAGCAATCTAAGTGAAGATGTGCATGATTTTTTTTTTGCATTAAATTGAAAATAAACTTCATTATCTTCAATAGTTTGAACTTAGGGTTGAAAAATATGTCATATTGTGTACTGGGAAACGAATGTGATAAGTGCAGTGCAATTAATTACTAAAGTTATAACAAAAAACTATAAATATGCTATTACATTCATTTTCATAAGATTTAATAACATAAAATATATTAATCAAGTAATTATTTATAAAAAAAAAAGTAATTTTATAAAATATATTTATATATAATTTATTATCAAGTCAATGTTTATGTGATTATTGAAGTACAAATGACCTTTTAATTTATTCCCCTTCCCCTTTTAGAGAGTATTACCACTTGACTATTTCATTTTGATTTTATTTAATAAAAATCTATATATTTAATGTATTTTTAATAATTTATATATGTTTTGAAAATTGTGTAAATTACTGATAACCTAATATTTGTTGACTATGCTGAAGTCATAGATGAATTTTTTTTTTTTTTTTGTAAATCAGCATTTGTGTTCCTACGATTTGTTATTGCAGGATAATAATAAATTATCATTATTATTTAATTTTGTAACGTATTTGAATTAAAACTATGTTTATGTTATGATTGTCGTCATGGATGTTTTTATGTTAATTTGTATGTAGTCAGTAAGAGTATTATTTTTAAAATTAATGTAAATCTATATTTATTTGTATTTATATAATATTATCTAGCTCCTTTTTTCTCCCAATAATTAAGTTTTTACAGACAATCAAATTGTAGGCAGTTTTTACAAAAAACAAAATATATGTATGTATTCAAACACGTATGTATATATAATATATCATTTTTTTCACGTTTTTAGGATATTTAATTTGTGAAATAGGAGATACAATATAATAAAATTATTGTTGTGATTTTAATAACTTTTGTATATGTTTTTATTTTATCTTAAATTATATGAGAATGATATATAAATTTTAAGTGTGGTTGTTGAGTATGTTCTCATCAACAATTTCTGTCTGTTTTTCAATGTCTGGAGTAATTATTATTGATACAACTTAATGGTTGAACTAAATTATTTCTAATATAAATAGTTGTTATGTGTATATCTCTTATGAAGGTATTTGTACATAAGTCTCAGAATTATTAAATGAAGTAAAAATTATTAAGTAAATTTATTGAAATATTTTTAAACTTACTAGCTTAATAAGTTTATTATTTATATTAAATGATTAATGAAATGTCATCTACTTGAATACTTAATCTGAAGTGACCTCTGTGAGACAATCTAATATTACTGTTAATCATACATTAACACAAGTGCAAGATTAATAAAAAATATGACATTGATTTTTTTGTTACTGTATAAATGAAATATGTCTTACTAAAAAACAGTTTTGTATAATGACCTTCTATTAGTGTATTGATGTAAATAATATATTCTTACCAGTTAAGCTCATAATTAAATATTCAAGGGAATTTTATTTTTTACAATATGCCAACTCAACTCGAGTAATTTAGTAGACTACCTCTTGCGCCTGAAAATCGACCATCATGATGTTTTTATGCGAATATCATCATTTATTAAAATATGTAAAATTTTAACAAATAGCTTTTTAAAAATTACTATTTGTACAATATTTATTCGAATATTGTTTTTATAATGTCATTACATGAATGACAATTTATATCTTCATAATATTTAAATTTGAAGGTAAAAATTGTTCTAAACAACGTTTTACTCTTTCCACAATATTGTCTGCGAGTAATTATAAAGCCATTCCATATAAGTTTTTTTTACTACCGATCCAAATTTTGTAAATTAGTTCATATTTAATAATTGGCGTGCATGTTACATTATTAAACTGATACGAAGGCTTATACAAAATTTTGGAGTTAAAAAGCTTTTTTACTCTTAATGGAAACAATTGTAGCGCTTAGTCAGTATAAAAATTCTTGCCTGTATCATAATAAATTGTTTAGGTAATCATAATTCAGAAGAGGTTTAATAATGTCGTTTGGAAAAAGTTATCTTAAGTGTACGGCATTAAAACTACAACGCCAGCGGTCGTTATCTTTTAAACCTCAACCCTAAAGCTCTGGTGGAACAAAGTTTCATTATTGCATGTATAACTAATTAAATAAGCAATTTATGATGAATTGATTATATGCACTGACATAGTTAATTTATTATCTTTTATGCCTCATTCAATAATAGATACTTAATTTATAGTTTTAAAAACACATATCAAAATAAAATTCGAATTTTTAGAACACATAAAATTACCAGTATCAAAAAAGTACTCTATTATTCATGTCTTTACTCGTTGCTGATTTGATCTTTTATTAATTAGGTCTTGCATATCTCAGCGAACAATTTATACCAATATAGAAAGACTTTGTATTTATTTTAAACTTAAGAAGTTAGTAGTAACAATTAGTTTTAAAGCCATTTCGTATATAATTAACGAAAAGATTATACGTATCTCTTTCTTCAGAAGTGAACTACACTGAAAAAATATTTGATGATATTTCAATGTAAAAGGTCTTGCAACCTATGAATTAGGAATTTCCTGATTTTATTCCACGTCTCTGTTATATGTTCTTTAATAGACTACTATTGGAAGAAACCTTAAAACGCTGTTAGGTTTTAGCTATTTGTAAGGAAAATATTACTACTTTAGTCTTTTAATTAAAACATTTGTAAATATTTCCAAAAAACTTAATCATGATTTTTTATACCGATTAAGGTATAAAAACCATAATAATTTTAATGTAAATTTATTTTAAAAATGAACTTTAAATTATTGTAAGGATACATTATGGAAACAGTTAAAATTATGGTGTTGACTAATCACAATACTAAAGTTTCAAGTTTTAAACTTAGTTTCGTTTGCAGCTGATGTTTCTGGTCTAATTTATCATTGAAAGTTATTACTTTCTAGTTGTCCTGAAGACATAACTTATAATGCAATGTAATATTCCAGTACTGAAATTAATATAAGTTACAACTATTAAGTCAAAACAAATAAACAAAAATTTTTTTGTAGTTTCCACACATACTTACATTTGAATGTAGTAAACTGAATGTCATTAAATTAATTTTATTTTTTATATTTCATGAGAAATGGTATACTGTTATGTGACTGTAGTACAAATTCGCGAAACTATTTTACTTTCTAAACTTGAATAATCAATAAGTCGGTCCATCTCTTGCTATTGAATCGTACCATGTTGCACCTTACGGTATGAATATTAAAATTTTCATGTGAAAGGCACAGCATCGTAAAATTAACCCATTAGCTTTTACTTGTATTGTCACCGTTCATAACCCGCGTTGAAATAAATATTTTCAATTACACTTTGAAGAGCTTAAAGTACTTATTTTAATTTAAAAGGTTTTATGTTTGAATTACATAAACTATTTTATGAAGTACCTTCGGATAATAATTGTTCCTCCAAAATGTTTAGATTTTATTATAGTCTTCCTGATTACAGTTTAATTATGAGCATAAGAATTATTCAAAGACTTTGCTTTTAAAAAAATTTACCATTCGCTTAATTGTTAAATTTAAGTCTTACAAATATTCAAAAATATCTGATGGGCTTTCAATTAAAGCCGTTTCCTTTTAAGCGTACTAAGATCTCGTGAAATTATATCAGTTAATTATTTTATTAAAATAATTCATAGAAATAAAAACTTGGGAAATATGATTTCGTCTTCACATAATGATTTTTATAGATTATTTATAAGTTTATAATTTAATACTCTCTTTATCAGAACTTCAGTTGTAACCCAATAATCTCAACATAAAATATTTACATATGAATACTACATAATGTAATTATGTACATTACATACATAATGTTGTTAAAAAAAATAAATCTGTTTTTTAATTATAATGAATAAAGAAAAATACATAAATAAAAAACTTTTGTTTGTTGCACATATTAATATAATTTTCTTAGAAAATAAATACTTAAAATGTTTATGTAAATTAGCAGTTATGATAATAGTTGAATTGTGACTAAGGCTGAAGCCCTTTTGGAATTTTGGTAGCCTCCTAACTATCAGGGGACTACTATAATGCAACTATTGTTGAAAATTAACGCAATGTTCAATTAATATTAAGTTAAAACCCACTCTTTTTATAGTAATTTAATGATATTATTTTTAAAAAAAAATTTTTCTGATTGCACTAATATCTAGAACGCCTATAGAATAAAAAAATTCTGAATTCGACTCTGTTTACAATAGTCTGTGCCAATTTAATCAGAAATGAGCTCGTACGTTAAAACAACACATAGTCAAGTTGTAGTTGTACAGTTTATTGGCTCTAAAATAATAATTCGATAATTATCATGAAAATATGTTTAGTCTTTTGACAAATCTACTTACCTTAGTTTCTCATAAAGTGAATTTATTAAAATAATAATTATTTGAATAAATTATATTTAAATCAAAGATGCGCTTTGAACAACTAGTCACGTAAAGTAACAGAGCATTACGACACGACGCATATTACACTATTTTACTTTACTGTAATTGCGCGCCTTGAAGTTTTGAGTAGTTTCACGATGCACAAATACAGTGTGATTATTTTGATATTAGCCACTCATGAAATAACAATTACTTTAAGAAAATTCTCTTTGGTATTTTATAATTTTATGTATATCTTGATTTATTAATTATTAAGTATTTTTTCAATACATTCCTCGCACTTTAAAAGGGTGTCAGCTTTATTTTTTAAATGGAAAATATATATTTGACTTGCTTATAAGATAAATTAATAAATCGACAAATATATACAATAGCAAAAAGACTTTTTTGAATAATTTTAAAGTAATAAAATCACCTCATGTGTAGTTTTGCAACATAATGCTGGAAGTCCCTCTATCATTAAAGATTCATAGATTTCAAAAAGCCATAGAAATGCAAAACTTTCACGAAGCCATAGAAATGCAAAACTATCAAGAAGCTACAGAAATGCAAAGCTTTCAAGAAGCCATAAAAATGCAAAGCTTTCAAGAAGCCATAGAAATTCAAAACTTTCACGAAGCCATAAAAATGGACAAATATGTAGAAGCCATAGAAATGCAAAACTTGTATGAAGCTATAGAAATACAAAAACACTTATAAATTATAAGTACATTAATTAATTGACCCAGAATGAATATAATATATGAAATATTACCAAAAATATTAAATGTATTAGCATATAATTTTATTTGTAGATATTAAATTTTGATCTCAATTGGTCACTGTTAAATATCATTGTATTGGTCTTAAACTTATGAAAATAATTTTCACTTCATTTATAGCAGTAAGAAGTGCCGGACCTCCTAATAAGTCAAACTTTTATGTTGTAAGCTAATTTTTGAAAGAAATATACTGTCCAATGTTGCGGTACAGTCCAAATGTAGTTTGTTTTGATTCGTGTAAATGTATTTATTTGTTAATAATTAAAGTCTAATAATATTGCAGTGCGAATATTCAATGAATTTTAGGCGTGCGAATATTCGTTTCCAACTACATTATCTATAAGTGTTGTTCACAAAAATGTATAATTTAATTTTAATAGTTCGACGATATGGTTAAAGGTTCTAATTGAGTAAGTACAATCATTGTCTACCTGTTCATTTATAATTCTAATTGTATAAAATATTTAACAACGTTCCAAACTTTACATTTATAAAGAACATGAACAAATACATATTTAAATGAAAATCTGCAAAGAAAACTTAGTTCTTTAATTTCTTTACAAGGATCTAAACGACCTAATGTAAAGTAAAAAGTAATCATATACTAGTATTTTAATTTTATAATGTGGATATGGTTTTCTTATACTACAGAAAACAATAATCTAATATTTATTTGATCATAATCGGATAACATTTACAATGACTTAGTTCTCTTATTGAACAATAATGAAGCCGTTATTTTGAAATATAACTCGAAGATCATAAGAAAGTCTCTTTTATAATCGTTAAATAACTACGGTGTCTAGTTTTTTAAGAGGATATCTTTATCTTTTAACAAGTCAGAATCAGACTCTCCACGAGTCATAAGTATTTTTACAAAAACATAAGTTTATTAATGTAGTTAAATTTTATTTACAACTAGACGTACTCTACAGTACAGGTTAAACTAAAACAATCAGAGTAATTTAGAGATACAAATTTAGCACTTATAGCCTCAGTCGATCGGCTAGAATGTACTTTTGACCAGGTCATGTCGCCTTGACGACCCATCGAAGGAGTACCCATAACACTAAGTCTGCTTGGCAACGACGAGCAGTACGGTGTGTTTTTTGTAACTCGGTTTTGTCCCGGTCCTTATGGTTTCTCCATGCCTTCAGACGATACCGTATAGTACTAATCGTAACTCATACAATATAAGTATTATAATAATAACATGTATCCGTGTAGTCGTGAACAACCATTTGGCAACATTGGATCTTCAGCACCGCCGAACCGGTCTTTTTTATATCTCTGGCTTACAGGTGTGCCATCACGTTCAATGGGAACAGGTATCGTGTGAGGGAGTGGATACAACAACAGGAGCACTGCGGGGGAAGGACATATTCGTATACCTTGGGAGAGGAGGGGCAACAACAGTAACAACACGGTTGACTCCGCTCACTGGCTAGCCGGTCGACCGCGGTGAGTCATCGTGCACCGGTCGGTCGGCAAGCGAGTATACCTGTGTGTTCATGTGTACAGGTGGGTAAAGGGGGGGGAGGAGAGAGAGAGTGTGTGAGCAGGTAGAACACGCGAAACGCATTCCTCTGCACACACAAACACACAAGCACATCAGCGTAGAGTTGACGTAGAATGGACGTGTTGCTACAAACAGTTGTCGGGTTACAGCGGCAAATAGGTGAGTACCATTTCTCATTAACTAATGACATTCGAATAATCGTTTCTAAAAGACATAAAACGTAAAAACAATATCGCAAACCGGTCGAAAGTCACGTAGAGAAGAAGGAGAGAGTTCGTATCGCGATGGGAAGGGAAGGAGTTTTGGGCGGCAAAAAGAGGTCGCGCACTTCGACTGTAAAAGAATAGTCCAACGCGTACACCTGCCGACCAAACGTCGTCAGTGTTTTTTTTTTTTTTTATACGTTTTGAGTATTGTTTTTTTTTTTGTTCACAGTTTCTTCGGCGAGCCCGTGAAGAGCAAGTCCGATCGTATTCATCTACCCCGTTTGGCGACGACCTGCCACCATGCAGGTGGGCGGCTTAACGCTGCGGAAACAGTGCGGCGAGAGGCTGTGTCCAGAATACTACGTGTGTTCGGACCACGACTTGCAATGTTACCCCTGTCTGTCCTATTGTAACGATACTTCGCACAATTACGATGCCAAAATTTGCGAACTCCAGTGCCAAGGTAAGAACACAAACGGTTAAAATATTTTCATTTTCCCAACGCGACTCGAATGCTCCCAAGACGTTTGGGCAGACCTTTGAGAAACCGCCTAAACGAGTTCGTTGTTAACGGTCGACGGTTGGCCAAACAGGTGCTTTGTACCGATGACAAAAAAAAAAAAAA